CCTCCTCGGCTCCGGGCCCTCTGCCTCGACGCGCCCCCTTCTCTCTGGAAAAACACACACCACCCATTTCCCAAGGCTCGGCTCATCGCGGCCCCTCCCGGAACCTCCGCCTCGACGCTCCCCAGGCTCCGCTCAGTGCTGCTTCCTGGAGAACAGGGCGGGTGGATGGCCCCCATCACGCATCAGTGTTGCGGGACCTAGCGGGGACCCAGCAGGAAGCTGTCGGCCAGTGTGCCCACCGCACTATCTGCCCGCATCCCCACTGCCTCACATCACAGGGGAAAGGCTCAGCCAGCCGCGGGCGACCGGGACAGAATGGTGGCCTGAAGCCCAAACCCAGCCAAAGGCGTTTTCCCCCAGATTCCCTGAGATCTAGGCAGCATCGCAATAGCCCACGTAGGGCGCCAGATTTGTTGAGCATTACAGTGTTGTTAGGTCTTCTGTACATTGCCACATAGTTATCCTAGGACCCCACAAGGTAGGAGCTCTTATTTATGTTTCACAGTCAGAAAAGCAGGCACAGAGAGGCCCAGAAGCTCAAAGCTCGTAAATGACAGAGCCCAGGCCGAGCTCTGTCCGTCTCTCCTATACCTCCCAACCCTATTCACTATACAAACGCATACGGTGTGCAGGACGGTGCTGGCCCCAGGCCAGGCATGCAGAGGTCCATGAAACTGCCGGGCACGCATGTCACATGCAAGCACGCATTTCACATGCACGCATGCATTTCACATACAAGCACGCTTGTGGAAAGATGGGGGCTTTTCTCTCTGTGGTCAGGGCCCCAGCGGCCTTCCCCTCTTCCCTCTCACTCTGGTTCATCCTTCCAGATGGCTCTGCCCACCCAAGCAACCCAGACTGTGAAGAGTCCCGGGAAAGCAGCAGTAGCGGCGGCTCCGAGCCAGAGCCTTCTGGCCGTCAGCTCTTCTGCCTAGAATATGAGGCGGACAGCGGCGAGGTCACATCTGTTATCGTGTATCAGGTACGCCTGGCAGAGACAGCTACAGCCTGACGGTGCCCAGGAACTGGTAGAAATCACTGCCAGCCCCCGAGCCACTGTTTCCATCAGGGTCGGAGGGGAGTGTCTGCTCCACATGGGGGCACAAACTCCGGGCAGTGCTTTTGAGCACAGCTCCCGCCACACAGTGATCCTCAGCGGGCCACAGGGCGGGCTCATGGCCCTCAGTTGAGAGTCACTGTCACAGGGGATACCTGGGAAATGGCAGGCGCTGGCACGTGTGAGTCAAATGGAGTTCTTTGAGAGCGCAGTCTAGGGACAGGGCAGGTGGCCTTTCCGGAAGAGGCCAGACCCTGAGCTTCCTGACTCTTCCTCCACGTAGGACGATGATCCAGGAAGGGTGAGCGAGGAGGTGTCGGCACACACGCCTCTGGATCCACCCATGCAAGAGGCCCTCAAGTTGCGCATCAAGGAGGAGATTGCAAAGCGCCAGAGCCGAGACTGACGGGGCCGAAAGCATTCCCTCCAGGCTGTGGTCGCTGCCCAGGGAGCTCCCTAGTTTGGGGGTGCCAGGACCAGTCTGGGCTGAAATTGACACACAAACACACCCCAGAGCTGCTAGAAAAGGGTGCTGCAGGGACAATGCCTGGCCACCTTCCTTGTATGTTGGCCCATTGACCAGCCTGATTGGGAACTTTTGAGAATTTTGTTTGGCTAGCTTGGTGTTCTAGAAGCAGAGACGCCAGGGAGAGCCAAGGTTTATGAGCCTTATGCCAACATGCTGCTTTCTCACCGAGTTCATATGCCCTGGGATGGCTGGCCACTGCTGCTCAACCCAGCTCCGTGAACCACGTTATTTTAGGGTTCCTTCCCACCGTGCTTCTGCTCATGTTCATTCATGTTTTCTTAGGTCTTTTTTTTTTCAGCTGTTTCTTTGTTCTTTCCTTTCCTTCATCTTTTTGTCTCCAAGTCCATCAGTTCCGCCCCACTCCCCACCTCCCAATGTGACTGCACCTCCAGCTGCTCAGGACTTTGGAGGTTTGGGGTCGTGGCGGGGTGAGGGGGCCGCTACCTTTCTGACACACTCGCCCAGTAATCCCGATACCAACACAGTGAGAGATGTTCATTTTTGAGGCCAACTCCCAAGCATGTCTCCCTCCCCTGCCGTGGCTTTTTCAAGTTTCTGTCATGCCCCACTGCTTTACACTATCTAGATAAGGAGACCTAAGAAGATGATGCCAAAACTAAATTGCAAGGATTTCTTGCAACAAAACCTGCCTTGGTTAGGACTAAGCTAGAGTTCTAGCTTTCAGCCTCATCCCTTAAAGGGGAATTATCAAAACATGCTTAAAACTGCCTCTCCAAATGTGATTTAACAGTCTGGAACATAGATACAAAGAGCAATTCAACCGCAATAATTGCCTATTTAGAACCCTAGTTGCAAAGGGGGCGGCGGGGGGGCAAGCAATGTCTCAGAGGAAATGAACCTCTCACCTGCTCTTCCCCTGCCCCATTCTTTCTCCTTTCCTGCCTCCCTAAGAGTATATAATCTCCCAACAGATCCTTATAATAAAAATTCCAGGAGTATCAGTGCTTTCACTTTTAAGTGAACATTTTTCCTAATGCAGGGTTAGGCTAAAGATCTGATAAACCCACACTGCAGTTCCAAGCCACTTCGGTTTTCCAGTACATTGGAACCTTTTTAGTAATTTGAAATTTAGGGTTGATGTGAGCACTGAGACTTCTTGAAACCAAAGTCTACCTGCCCCAGGGGTTTCTCCACATCAGGGTCTCAAGATCAGTCTGGCTGGTCCATCTCAGCAACGTTCCTCTTAAAGGACATCTGAGGGCACTCTTAAAGTACTTACTAAGGTGCAGGTGGCCAGAGCTGACCGTGCCAGGAACGTCCGTGAGGTGGATTCCTTAGAAAGGCCTGGCTGTGAAGGGACCAGAGTGCTCCTGACCCACAGAGCTGGCCCAAGGTTAAAGGCCTTAAACTTGCCGGTCCTGGGCTCAGTTCTACTCTTAAAGGGGAAAGCTTGCCCTCTATATATTCAGCTGGAGTCAAAGTGCCTTTTAACATAATGTTAACTACCCTCCAGAGCCTGGGTCAAGGGGGCTGTGCCATCATCCCAGTTTCCCTGCAGCTCAGAGGACCAGTCATTTTAGTCTTCCGACTCGTCAGCTGATCCGACTTGGACATAGGATTTCACTGGAACTCTTAGACTTCCCAGTCTGGAAATACTTTGGGGTCCATCTTCTCTCCGCTGGATGGCCTGCTTCCTGGATTTATTAGAAAATTTAGAAACAAGACCAGAAGCGGAGAGTGTAGCCTCCCTTCCTGTTTTGTGAGAAGGGAAGTGTGTGCCTGTTGTCTTTCTATGTTTGTCATGTAATCTCACACACTCAGGTAAGAAATTAATGAGAGCTCCTTGCGTGTAGAATTTTTCTTGCACTTTGCATATCAAGTGCATATAAAATATTTTCCACTCAAGAAAGATCGAATTCTTAATTTATGCAGTCTGACTATATAAAGCACTAAGCCTGGTGCTTAAATGAGAGGTTGTCCTGCAGAACAGAACTGTGGGGGCTGAGGCTGCATTGCTCTAGGTGTGCCTGAAATGCTTCTCTGGTGATGGCCCTCAGCTTTCTAGCACAGGCTCGTTGCTTATTTTGCCACCCGTCATCTGGTATCTAAGATGGTATTAACCAGTTTATTCACCAGACTTACCTCCAGACCTCTGGCAGCTGTTTTCAAAAGTCGGTGCTTTGCCTTCAAGGACAGTGTTCAGAGCATTTCCCACAGGCTCTAGATGAGTCCCGAAGGGGACTATCCCGCGCTGTTAACGCAGTGGCGACAGTGTTGGACTAGCTGGAGCTTCCCAGCAGGCTGCTTCAGATTCAACACTCACTTGACTAGATACCTTCTTGGCTGTCTCAAAAAAAAAGTCTGGTAGCCTGATAGGCATATCTCATGTCCATCCAAAATTAAGTGTGCCTTCACTTACTGAGAGTTAAGCCTTGGATTTTAAGGTTTTGTGTTTCCTGGGCCAAAGTGGGTAATGTTACAAATAGAAGGAAGCTGGGGTTTGCATGGGGCTTGGGCTGTGCAAAAAAAAAACCAAAAAAAAAACAAAACACTAAAGCTTGAGTTCCCGCCAGTTGGCAAACATGGAAGTCTTTGGTGAACATAACGCAAGAAAAGAATGTAAAGCTTTTTGTATTGAGTGAGAGAGTGGGAGTCTGGAGCCAGGCCAGACATTAGGAGGACCGAGCAGCATGGGCAATAACAAATGCTCTCTATGGAAGAGCCTCTGAAAGAGATTCCATCTCCATGGTCTACCCTACGGGGCACGCCCAACTAGAAGTTAGCCTGGAGAGCTGGAAGAAATCCTTTGGGGTAGTGGATTCCCAGCTGATTCACAAATATAAATGAAGCCTTTACTATAGAAAGAGGAATAAAGACATTATTTTCCTACCTCTGAGCCTTTGGGAGAATCACCATAGAATGTTGAAAGTTATTCAAAACATTTTAAGCTCCCTCTTTGTATTCCTGTCCTGTCCCTGAGGAATTTGATGGCCAAGGAGCCGCAGGCACCCAGCCCGAATTTCCCCAGTGATAGGAGTGAAGCTAGAAGTGAAAACCTGAGTGAATGGCTCCTCTTGCCTTTTCAGAGCCGCCAGAATGACAGACTGGTTGAACTGATTACGCTATGATGTTAAATGTATAAAAAGCCATATAGTCTTCTGTTTTCTCATTTCAATGTTTCTGTTATGTAGATGAATAAAAAGTATGCAAATTATTTGAAAAATTCTGGAGGGGAGGTACTTTTCAAAGACTGTAATTTTTTAACCAATAAACATTATTTTTACAAGCACTGTTTTTTGCCAGGAGTTGTGAAATCACCTGTGTATGTAGGGAGGTGAAGGTGAATGCCTGCTCCTAGCATTCAGCACCACAGAACCAGCACTTGAAATCTCATCTCTTGCTTAGCCTATTTTAAGAACTGTCCTGGTAGAAGTGTAACTCCCATAGCTTTAGAGCTGGAAGGGACTTTTTTTAAAGACTTCGGGTCCTACTTCTTATCTAACTCTCCCCTACCAACTACCCATTCTGTCACAGGGAGCTCTATCGGGGTAACTCCTTACTCATACTGTCATGTTAAGCCCAAATCTTCCTCCTCACAGCTCTGGAGCACTTGTCTACCCGATTTATGTTAAAACAGCCAGTTCAGAACTTGAATAGCCAGCTCTCTCAGGTCTTCCGGGATAAAGGTTGGACAGGAACACAAACCCAGATCAATAAGATACAGTGTTGGTTATGATTGGCAAAGCTACTAAAGAGGTAGAGAATGCTGAGGGCTCACGACACCATTGGGCAGATGAGAAAAAGGGGCCTGCACTAATGGGAACACACCTGAGTCAGAAGATGGTGTCTCTGTGAATTAGAAAGAGGCCCCCCTTTTTCCTGGGGCACAGAGCATGGCCAGCAGAAGGTGCCCTGAATCTTACACCCCACTGGTCCATTCAGCCTGGTGTTCTTGTACAGTAATGGTTCTGTACCGCCATACTTTAACTGCTTGTCCTGATGGGACTCAGCAAAGGGCTCTCCAGCAGGTTTCCTTTGTCCACTAATTTTTTTCCCCTCCCTCTTTCCATTTTTAACTGTCACTGAGTCCAAAGGGGTTTCTCCTTTGTCAGTGCCATGTCTGGCTTATCTGCTCCATTTCCCTAACAGTACCAGCCATTTAACCTTTCCCTAAAACGGCCTCCTGGCAGCCTGGGCCCATGCTCCCTTCCGGTAAATGATCTGTTGGCCCCAGTGTTGTCTCACAAGGGCTCTCAGCAGATGCTGGGCTTCCTTTTGGAGCGCCAGGCACCCTTCTGGTATGTGCAAGCAAGTATTCTGCCTGTTTAATTAGGAAAGGAGCCAAGAGGGCACTCTTGGCCTGGACGTTTTGATGAAGCTGAAGGGTAATTTATTCCCACAGAATTCTGCTTCCTTTTCCCAGATTGCTCTGGGTCGCCCACCTTCCTGTTACCTGCCAACACCTGGCCATGTGGGTCTACTTAGACTGGATAATCCACTGGTTAAGTGTTGAGCAGTTAGGTAACATGTTTTAGACACTGACTTCTGGACAATAGTATTCTGTGTGCTTGTTCTCTTGAAAACGCATCGGGTGCGAATAGCATCCTCCGGAGTTTGCGGAGTCGAGGAAAGCAGAAGCCAAATCCAGGGCGCTTGACTGTAAGGCAGAGCAAGGCTTCTCTGCAGACCGCGTCGCCAGGACAGAGCAGGCGCCCGGCGCCAGCTGCAGAGATAACCCGAACTCTCACCAGCAGCGGAATGTGCCCTGCGGCGGAGCAGGCTTCCTCAGCCAAGTGCACCGGGACGATCACAAGTGCAGCTGGAAGGTGGTGCAGCCCCCAGCTTCCCGCCTCCCGAATCTTCCACCGCAGGAACCCGGGCAACAGGACTAGCCTTCCCGCATCTCGGAGACAGAGGGGCTGCTGAGTCCCACGCCACGATCCTCACGCCCAGGTTCCCCGAAGCTGGGGCGCCACCCCCTTTCCACCGGGACTGGGCGCGGGGCCTCGGGAGTTGTAGTCCTGGGCGGAGCGCGGGCCCCAGGACACTAGCGACGCGGACTCC